TCTCTGTCTCTCTCTCTCTCTGTCTCTCTCTCTCTCTCCTCTCTCTCTCTCTCTGTCTCTCTCTCTGTCTCTCTCTCTGTCTCTCTCCTCTCCTCTCTCTGTCTCTCTCCTCTCCTCTCTCTCCCTCCTCTCTCTCCTCTCTCCTCTCTCCTCTCTCCTCTCTCTCTCCCCACCTTTCCCCTTCCTCACTTGTCTCTGTGTCTTTCTCCGACATCCTCATTGAGGGAGGCGCGTAGCACGGGCGGCTTCCTCGCCAGGGCCCGGCGGGAAACCCGAGGCGGGGGGGATCTCCTGGCCCCCCCCCCCCCCCCCCCCCCCCCCCCCCACCCGCGGGTGTGAAGGTGCGCGCGACGGGCCGAGCCACGCGCAGAACAGCTCCCGGCGAACATGGATACGTTGGCACATGCCCTCTGATGTCAGGCCATCATGGGCCGGAAGGGGGGCCGGAGGGCCGGGACAAGGAACGCAATGTGCGGTCTTCGCTACCCCCCCCCCCGTCCCCCAGAAGAGACCACCGACCAAAGGGAGGATATACAAGGCGAAGCCAGACGGGCCCCCTTCCCTGGTGAACGCGGCCAGATCCCCCTCCTGCAGCCCCTCCCTCCACTCGCCCGGATACCCCTGTGCTTGTTCCTCTTTTTGTGTCTGCCTCCTTCCTTTTGTCCCATCTACTCGCCCCTTCCCCCGCAGAAGGAGACCCGAGCGCGTCGCCATGTCCCTCTCCTACAACGAGGACGTCACCCCCGAGCTACTCCGGGTTATCCACCCTCAGGACTACATTTCTGCCCTGGCCCTGCACAATGTCCGCGGGGATGGGCGCCAATTTGATGCGATGCGTCCTCTGGAGCTCGCTCTTGGTATGTAATCACGCCCCTCGAGATGGCCCGTCCCACGGACATGGTCTGTGTCTCCATCATTGCTTCGTGACTGACGTTCGCGTATGCGCCCGCCCCCGCGCGCCCGGCTACACACACACACACACACACGCGCGCGCGCGCACACACACGTCGGCGTCCCAGGCACGGTCTCCTCGGCCGAGGGGTCGGCGACCGCACGCATCGGCAATACGACCGTCGTGGCGGGGGCCAAGGTGGAGATTGGTGCTCCGCTGGCTTCGGCCCCGGGGCATGGCTTCGTCATTCCGAATGTCATCATCACGGGCGGCAGTTCGTCCGAAGCTGGCCGTCTGGCCCCGAGCGGGCTTCCCTCGGACCAGGCACAGGTCCTGAGCAAGCGCCTGGCCGACTATCTGCTGCAGTCCGGCTGCGTGGATATGAGCCAGCTCTGCGTGCATGAGGGCCAATGCGTGATGGTGGTGTATTTGGACATCGTTTGCGTGGCATACGATGGCGGCCTGTTGGACGCCGCGCTGGCGGCCGCTGTGGGCGCCCTGCGCGATTTGGCCCTGCCGAACATCACTTTCGACACCAGCACGGGGACCGCCTCGCTTCAGGCCGCCCCGGCTGGCGCCCAGCCCCGGCGACTGACCCTGCGGTCGGTGCCGATGTCCCTGTCCTTCGGCATGGTCCCGGCGTCGGCTTCGTTGGCCGGCCAGGCGACCGACAGCCCGCTGGCGCGTCCGCTGCTCCTGGTCGACCCGACCGCCGACGAGGAGGTTGTGTCCACCGGGGTGGGCAGTGTTCTGTCTCTTGGTTCTGACCGGTGGCTCGGCTTCACCTTGGCCGCCGGGACGGTGGTCGGTGGGGCCACCTCGGCGGCCGTCCGCCAGGTCGAGCCCCGTGGCTTTGGTCTGCTGAGCCTGCTGAATGACGCGGTGTGCGCTGGTGTTGCGGCGCGCCGGGCTGCCCTCCTGAAGCAGCTGTCGATAGTTTGAGTGCTTTGCTGTCTGTGGACGACGGAAGTAGCTGCCCCGCCTTTTGCCCATGTCGACTCCTCCACCCATGTCTTCGCCCGCGCCACCGTGCACACGCCATGCCCCCGGAGGCCGCCATGGCCCCGGTGTGCAAACAGACAAATAAGACACAAAAACCCCATCGGTCTCTTCGGCGTAGGTGTATATCCAAGTGGGGTGGGTCAACTGGGAACAGCAGTCCGTGTGTGTGTGTGTGGGTGTGCGTGTAAGAGCATGTGGCGGCCCCTAGGGGAGCTCAATTTGAGCGAAGCTCTGGACAGTGCCGATGTGCAGGGCCTCCAGGCGGGCGGCCATCTCCGAGCTGATCGGAGCATTGCCCGGGCGATCAAGCAGGACCGCCTGCAGTCCGGCCTCGTGGGCAGCAAGCAGCTCTAAAGGGAAGCGGGCCGAAGGGGAGGTTAGTGGTGAACGGGCGATGCGGGCAGGCAGGCAGGCAGGCAGGCAGACAGGAGAGGCGGTGACCGTGGCGCACCGAGGGGATTGTCACTGGCAAAGAGGATGGCCCCGGGGGAGACATCCAGACGCTGGGTAATGGTAGCGTAGCTGGACGCGTGAATCTTGGCCCCGACACCGGTGTCAAAGTAATCCACCAGGTACGGGGTAAGGTCGCCCTCCTCGGAGAAGCCGAAGAGCAGGCGCTGGGCGGCTGGGACACCGGACATGGATGATCAGCGAGGAAGGGGACAAGGAATCCCGAGAAAGAGGATGAACATGGCCACGCACGGACGCTGCCCGAGGAATAGATTGCGACTCCCTTGGGGAGGGAGGTGGACCAGCGACGGAAGGCCGGCAGGACGTCCGCGAAAAGGTGGCCCTTGACCAGGCCCGACCGGTAGGCAGCATCCCAGCACTGGCCCTGGAGACCCTTGAGACCGGGGCTCTTGCGGTCAGCGGCCATCAGGAAGCGAATGTACTGCATCAGCTCCTCCACCGAGGGGGAAGGGCCCAACGGCGCATGTGGGTAGGCGCTCTCAGCGGCGCACTGATCCATGTGTGGATGTGGATGTGGGTGCGGCGAGCGGCGAGCGGCGAGCGGCAAGCGGCAAGCGGCAAGCGGCGAGTGGCGAGCAGCGGGGACAACAGGAGAAAAGGTGAGAAAGTAGCGGGAATGCCAGGCCGGCGGGGATGCCAAGGCGGCAGGAGGGCTTGGATGATGGGAGCAAGCCCGCGGGGGGGGGGGGGGGGGGGGG